ATAGAAGCTTTGTTCTTTTTCACAATTATACAATAGTGAATAGCAGACTGACAGTAGCTAACACCTTAATGGATAGCGTTCAGGTACATTCAATCTCAGCAACTCTTCAGCAGCTCAATAAAAAAAAGCTTCACATGTTGCCTTTGACTGTCTTGCTGTTGGTTCTGATGGTGAGGCTCAGAGTTAATGACCTCTAAAGGCTTTAGGATTGATATGCACCCCTCTAATAATAATAATAATAATCCTTGCATTTGATATAGCGCTTTTCACGTCGGGAGGACGTCCCAAAGCGCTTCACAGAATATACTGTAAAGTGAATTGACTGTATATTTGTGGGCGAACGCGGCAGCTAATTGCGCACAGCAATGTCCCACAAACAGTCGTGGATTGAAAATGACCAATTTATTATTGTTTTGGAGGGATTATTATTAGGCTCTGTGTGGAGTAAGGAAACTTGCCCAAGGTTTCGCCCTCTGCCTGGAATTGAACTCAGGTCTCTCACTTGCAAAGCGAGTGCTCTTACCACTGAGCTACAGGACTCTTATCTACTTGTGTGCTTGGTTCCCTGCGGGATACGCCAAGGCTGCATCCTTGGCCCCCTTATTTTCCTTATCTACACATTGCCTCTCGGCGATGTCATCTGCAGACATGGCATCAACTTCCACATATTTGTGAATGACACCCAAATCTACTTCTCCTCCTCCAGCTAGACTCCTAGTCCGCTGACGTCCTATCAGCTTGTTTGGCGGACATCAAGGCCTGGATGAGCACAAATTTCCTGCAGCTGAATGTCAGCAAGACGGAAGCCATACTCATTGGCTCCCGTTAACGCCTTCTCTCCTGCGAGTCTGAACTTGTCAACTTCCCCAGGCTCTCCCTCAGACTCTCTAAACCTGTGCGCAACTTAGACGTCAGTTTCAATCCCCAGCTTTCCTTTCTCCCCCACATCCGTTCCCTGACCAGGACCACTTTATTCCACTTCTATCACATTGCCCGCCTCCGTCCATACCTCACAACAAAAGCAGCTGGAACCCTTGTCCAAGCCTTTGTCACTTCCCGGCTGGACTATTCTAATGCCCTCCTTGCTGGTCTCCCCAGCTGCACCATACACAAAATATCACTAACTCAAAACTCTGCCGCCCGGATTCTTACCTGCATAAGACTCCATATCCCCATCACACCAGTCCTTGCCAGGCTCCACTGGCTCCCAATTCTTGAACGGATCGATTTCAAGATCTTCTAATTTGTTTTCAAATCACTTCATGCCCTTGCACCTCGCTACCTATCCAATTTCCTTACCCCAACTCTCCCACCCGCTGCTTTTGCTCGGTTGGTTCCAGCCTTCCAGTTGTCCCTCGCCCCTCCCCTCCACCATTAATGGCCATGCCTTCAGCCACTATGCCCTGGAGCTCTGGAACTCTCTTCCTCAATCCCTCCGTCTTACCCCTTCCTTCTCCACTTTTAAATCCCATCTGAAGACCTTCCTTTTTGATTGTGCTTACGGTCACCTCACCCCTACCTCTCCCCCTGGCTCGGGGTCAGACTCCGCCACAGTCAAGCACTCCGGGGCACTACCCTGCGTGAAGGGCGCTATAATAAATGCAAGTTGTTGTTGTTGCTCTTGGTTTCTCACTGTTCCAAAACCTCACACATCCATTGCTTCATATGTTATCCAGAAATCTCTTTCCTTCCCAGCCTTCAACTAAATTGACAATTTTTACTGTGTGACTAAAACATTCAATTGCTCTCCCATGTCATGACAGTATTTTGTTAGTTCACTTAATCCAGGGCAACTAGTGACACTCAACCCTCGCCCCCAATTTCACCATATTTCTCAAAGCACTGTTTGAAGCATCATTATTGGACAATGAAAATGATAGTATATGGAATAAGTAGATAAACTTCAGTGAAATCCAATAAAATTTAATGTGAAACTGATGGTGGTGTTTAGCTAAGGCTGACAGGCTTGGGTAAATATGCCTTGTGCTTCATTAACTCATAAATGTGCTTCATAAACTCTGGGACATGTACAATGGATAAATAATCCTGTAGCTCAGTGGTTAGAGCACTCGCTTTGCAAGCGAGAGACCCGAGTTCAACTCCAGGCAGGTCAGGGCGAAACCTTGGGCAAGTTTCCTTACTCCACACAGAGCCTAATAATAATCCCTCCAAAAAACAAAACAATAATAAATTAGTCATTTTCAATCTACGACTGTTTGTGGGACATTGCTGTGCGCAATTGGCTGCCGCGTTCGCCCACAAATATACAATTCACTTTACAGTGTATTCTGTGAAGCGCTTTGGGACGTCCTCCCGACGTGAAAAGCGCTATATCAAATGCAAGGATTATTATTATTATTGGCCTCTGGAGCTCGAAATAAAATCATCAAAAGCGGCAAGAGAAAGAAAAAAACCCTGCAAATGCTGGAAATCTGAAATATCTTCAGATTGCGCCTGAAAACCTTACTCTTCGATCGTGCCGAGCGTCACCTCTCCACTCGCCTAGGCTACCCTGCGTAAGGGGCACTCTATAAGTGCAAGTTATTGTTGTTGAAAGGGCTGGAAATGCACAGCAGGTCACTCAGCATCTGAATGGTAAAAATAAGCCAATGTTTGGGTGTGACCTTTCCTCTAAACTCTGATGGGGGCAAAAGCATTAATGCACTCGGAACATCAATGTACTTGGAGCCATTAACATACCTGGAACCATTAATATACAGGGAACCATTAATATACCTGGAACTATTAATCTAATAATAATAATCCTTGCATTTGATATAGCACCTTATCATGTCTTCGAGACATCTCAAAGCGCTTCACAGCATATACTTTAAAGTGAATTGATTGTATATTTTGTGGGCGAAACGTGGCAGTCAATTGCACACAGCAGCATCCCACAAACAGTCGTGGAAAGAATGTGCTTTTCTCTTTACCCCCCCAACGTGCACTTCCAGGATTTCTGTTTTAATTCATGATAAATAAAATCTGATTAACGTGAACTATCCACTCCCCAGTGGAATAAATCATCAGGTACTCAAATAGAGGAAGCAAATGCATGAATTGGTTGTGAAGTGTGATAATTGACTGAATTCTCATGAATACAATAATGTATAATGAAGAACTCGCTATTCATCTGTTGGAATGAGCTCTTCACTCCTGTATGTGGGCTGCTAATGCTAATGCAGGCTGCATCTCAGGTTTTCCCACCAATTGTTGTTGGCATTGGGTTTCCTTCTCCTCAGTACTACCCCAGTGTCTTCACTGATGTCCCTGCTGTTTACTGCCTCCTGATGTTTGCTCTATGATCCCCTAAATCTAGTCAAGCCCCATTACATGAAGTAGGCTCGGCTCCTACAAGATCCACCAACAGACACTAACAGGTGAGCAGTGTGAGTTTCTAGTCTGCTCAATTAGTCAGTTAGTTAATCAGTCAATCATTTAGTCAGTCCCATCACATCTGAGACTAGACAAAAGATAGATCAAGCTCCTCCAATAACTCAGTGAGTGAATGCACTATTGTCTGTTTTAGATAGTGCTGACCAGAGGTATACTGGAGCCCGAATTCAATGATTACAGTTCCAAAATGTAAACAACTTGTCATTTCTACCTGAAATCCTGCAAGATCAAGTTACCAGAGACAGACTCTCACCGGTAACAATAAAGCGCATGATACGGTAACTCTTATTTTCCACCTTTTAACTTAACACTAAGCATTTGTACCTAAGGAATGCCAGGCAGCTGTACAGAGACCAGCAACGCCACTGACAGATTGCAGACTATTAGGTGTTGTAATGTTATTTCTGCAGGTGTGGGGATAAGGGTTTGTCTGTGGAATTGTTGTCTATAACCCAGGACTGTCCTGGATTTGATTCCTGAACCTGCTACATTTGTTGATCTCGACCAGTGTGGTAGTTGGGGATTTTTATTTGGCTTGTGTCCTTGGGGCACAGAGGAGAGAGAGAGTGACTTAGCCAGGACTCCTGCATCTAATTGTTGTTGGATTGATTGTAGGACATTGCAGTGCACAATTGGCTGCTAACGTTTTGCCCACAAAATATAGTCAATCCACTTTACAATGTATTCTGTGAAGCACTTTCAGATGTCTCATTGACGTGGTAAGGAGATGTTCACAGAACCCAAGGCACTATTGATGCTTGGCCAACTGGCCTTGAAACTTGAAGAATTGGACATGGCCTAACCCAGTGAGCCAAACCATAGTGGCCAGGTGATCACACAATAAGTTGCCTTAGTTTGACAAGTAATCTCTAAATTTACCAGTCTTAATGCATGTGCGCTGTGTGAACACAGTTAATAACTTATTCATTTAATATTGCCTATTTTTCTGTCACATTTTAAGCACCTTAATGCATTGTTTTGATTTCTTGTTTTCAGTTTATGGTGCTGTTGACTGAGATTGTTTCTGTTCACCTACACCTGTTCACCTTGTGGAGACTTGCAGCTTAGTGGTTAGGGCACTCTCCTCGCAAGCAAGAGGACCTGGGTTTGATTCTCTGGTGGGGCGAAACTTTAAGGAAGTTTCCTTCCTCCACATGCCTCTGTTTACCTAGCAGTAAGTAGGAACCCGATTGTTAGTCGATTGGTAGATCGATTTCCAGGGGTAATTATCCTTTAAAAAAAATTACATTTAAAAAATAATTATTTGGTCACTCAACATACGACTGTATGTAGGACACTGCTGTGCAAAATTGGTTGCCATGTTTCGCCCACAAAATATTACAGTCAATTCAATTTGCAGTATATTCTGTGAAGCTCTTTGTGACATCTCAAAAACATGATTAAGTACTATATAAAATGCAAAGATTATTATTATTACTTTATAGAAACTTTGACACGTGATCGATGTTGCAGATGATTATTATTATTGATTTTAACTCTGTTCCTGCTGACACCTAAATTGGATTTGTTTTAAATTATATCCACGGCTTGTGATGCCTGCTGAGCTTTCTGACGTTGGTGCTTGGTTTGTGTTCCAGACTGGACTGTTGGTAGCTTGTTACCAGGGCTTTATGGATATTGTCTTCACTCTGGCCCAGTGCCCTTACGTTGATGTCAACTGGCAGGACAAGGAGGGAAACACAGCTCTGATTATTGCAGCACAAGCAGGTAAGATACTGTAGTAATATATAGTTCACTCACTCTCCTGTGCTTTATTTAATTTGTTTTACGCCCTTTACATACTTTCGCACCATTTTATGTGTGGTTTTGTCTTCCTTCCTGATATTATATTCTTCCCCCTCCCCTACTTAAAAACCTAGAAGTGCTCAGCACAGGAGCCCATTTCTCTCATCGTGTGTGTGCCATTGCAACCTCATTCTTTATTCTTAGTGACACTTTGCACTTATCCCTTAACAGAGCCAAGCACCATTGATGAGATGGGAGGAGGGGAGGGGCGGGGAAGTCCTTGAGACCCTCCCCAGCCCTTTACCAATGTTGCGTTTCTTTATTGATCACTGCTGTGGGAAGGGAGGTACACATTGGTTGTTGTCGCCATCCTATCAATTTTCTCCCCATCTGTCCTGAAGATGTTGGCACATACTGGGGTGCAGTTGCAATGGGACTGACACCCTCCACTGGTACTTACCCTACCAGTAACACTTCATATTTGAGCCCGGACCATCAGCAGGTTATACAACTAGGGCGAGCATCACAGCCTGGCCTAATCCTGTCCTCACCTGACATCACTGATCCGGATTAGAAGTGGTAACACTGGCTGATTTTTGTTCCTTCCCAGAAGTGCTGACAACTCAGCTGTCTCAACTGGATTTGAACAATCAACTTTAAGGTTCTCTTTAAGGGGCTAATCAACTTGCTGTGCATTTGCATCTTTATTTTGAACTAAAGCTAATTTACTTATTGATCCAATAGATGGTCTCTATATTGGTAAAGCGAGCAGACAAATACATTAATGGCCGCAATATTGGTCACCAGAAGTGGAGTCCTGTAGCTTAGTAGGTAGTGCGCTCACCTCACAAGCCTGGGTTCGATTCCCGGGAAAGGCGAAACCTTAGGCAAGTTTCCTTACTGCACACACCTCTGTTTACCTAGAAGTAGGAACTGGTTGTCAGTCCGTTGGCAGATTGCTTTCCATTGGTAATAATCCCACAAGAAAAATGTGGTTATTCAATCCATGCCAGGACACTGCTGTGCGCAATTGGCTGCCATGTTTCACCCACAAAATAGACAGTCAATCCACTTTACTATATATTCTGTGAAGTGCTTTGAGACCTCTCAACGATGCGATAAGGGCCTATATCAAATGCAGGGATTATTGTTACTTTTCATGAGCAGAACTCAAAATCGTTTAACTGACAACAACTTCAGAATGTCAGGAAGAACAAATTTCTGACATTGCATGCTGTTACCGAGTTTGGACAATAATGTTGTTTTCCTCCAGCTGTTTTTTTCCAGTAACTATGATTTACCACGGTGACAGCAGAAACAATAGAGCTGGGGTATACAGGAAATGTAAAGGTTGCGTCTGGTGGCCTTGGAAAACTGTACCAATTGTCTTGTGAGGTTACACTGACAGTAATTCAGGAAAAAATATTCCTACCAAGTGAGCCATTCTTGCACTACCTTTGGCAGTGTGTTTGGTCTTGTGTTGGGCTCTGTATTCTCAGCTCCCACCATAAACTGCGCATACATGTTCAACACACAGTATAAACAGTATAAATTTTAGGTAATGAAGGAGTGGAGGTTAAATTTGTGCTACTTCATAATGCGTTCCTTGCAATAAATACGAAATGCTCCAAACACCACCTTAATATCTGAATTGCCAACGAGATGCAGATGGGCTAAGGTCACAATCACAATTTCTAATGCCCTTCCAGAACACTGCAGCAGCAGCAGTCTCCTCCTGTGTTTGTATCTGTGTGAGGTGACGGTTAGATTAATCAAGATGTCAGTCATTGATTTTCCTTAATGGAGCCACTTTGGAGAACTGAAGGTTAAAATTATTTTGATTGCGCTGGACTTCTCCTGACCTGAGAAGCCAGTACATTCCAGTTGTGCTTCAGGGGGAAAACCAACCAGGGGAGCTTCTTCCAACTGCACCAGGCACTCAGCTCAGAATGAAGAGCGAAATAAGCACAAATGCAATCAGTCTGCCATATGTTGATGAATGTTAAGACATCCTCCTGATGAAATTCTCATTCTCTGTCATTGAATTGACTGAGCCATAGGGGAATGACTTCGTGAAGGCAATCAAGTCTCGAGGCACTAACTACTTCAAATCAAGCTGATAATGCTATTTTCTAGGTCGAATTTTTAAGTTAGTTGATAGAATTTGAGCAAATAATTTCTAACCTGATTTGAGTGTGATTGAAGTTTAATTTAAAGATTCTGATGGATTGGCTCCTCATCTCACTGTTGTTTACATAGAATTACATAAACTGGACAGCACAGAAAACAGGACATTCGGCTGAACTAGTGTCGTTTTTTATACCCCACTTGAAACTTCACCTATCCTAATCCTCCCTCGCGTATCTCTTGTAGAATATTCCTTTAATAATAATAATAATCCTTCACGTCTTCTAGACGTCTCAAAGCACTTCACAGAATACACTGTAAGGTGAATTGATTATATTTGTAGACGAAACGCGGCAGCCAATTGCATACAGTAGTGTCCCACAAACAGTCGTGGAGTGAACAAATTTTTTTTTATGGATTATTATCCCAGTAAAGCGATCTGCCAATCGATTAACAACAGGGTTCCTACTTACTGCTAGGTAAACAGAGGCGTGTGGAGTAAGGAAACTTGCCCAACATTTCACCCTGCCGGGCATAGAACCCGGGTCTCTGGCTTGTGACACGAGTGCTGTAACCACTGAACTACAGGACTCCACAAAAGGAGTAAAAGGCAATTAACAAAGAGCCAATGAGATGAGGACATGATGTAGAAAAGGGACCTGGGAGTGGAACAAATTGTTGTGGCTACGATTAATGGATTAGAATGATCTGAGTTGAGAATAACAAACCTTACTAACATTCTCGAAGTTTGGATTGAGAGTTATGACATCCATCTGTTCCCTTCTCCCTCATGAGTTACTTGTGGGATGTTGCTGCTGCGGTTGCCTATATATCACCATTCGCTTCATTTCTGATTGATAATCTGTAAAGGATTTCGAGACAATTATTTTACGTGAAAGGCACTGTATAAACATAAATTGTTGTTGCTTTGTGTCATCAAAAGATTTGTTGGCAGAATGTCAGATGATTTCGAAATATTCTGTGCACGCAGAGGGAAAAAGAGAACTAGGGTCTGCCGTAAGCGAAACTGTTGCTCCGTTTAGTGACATTGTGTACGTATTGTAGACGTGTTTTCTTTTACAATAGTCTTTATCCCCATTTTCTCCTGTGTTTTCCTGAAGGCTCTCACCCTTTGTTGAGTTATGGTTCCACAATGCTGGGCACTGTTTGGTACCTCTCCTGAGAGGCCATTCTTCATGGGCGGCCTTGGGTAAACTTGTCCAATAACTATGAGACACACAGTAATGTAAGGCCTGAAATTCCACTTAGTCCTAGCCTGTAAGGATCATTTTTGTCTTAAAATTTAAGGTGGCACAGAATTGTGAAGAATTCTCAAATTCCGCCTTATTTGGGAAGCCTGATCTTTTTAAGGACTGCACAGAACCACCTTTCCAAGCAGAATTTAAGAAATGTGTACAATTCTGCAGAAAACTTTTAATTTTGAGACAAAATGGTTTTACGAACTAAGACAAGGTCAAATTTCGGGACCCCGAAGCTCTAAAAAGTGAGCGAAGCATGAGAGAGAGCGACAGAGAGCGAGAGAGAGGGAACAAGGTAAACGTTATAAACAGGAAAGGAAATGACTGTGACATTGTAAACTTCACGCGTAGGTTAATAGGTGGCTGACAGCCAGCTACAGGGCAGTAATTCAATCTCACAGCTGTGCTGACATCACAGAGTGCACAAGCACACTCTCACATGACTTGTGTTCGTCAGCAGAAGCCTCTCCCCCCCCACCACCTATCATTGAATTACTGCCTCACACTCCCTGTCAAACTATTGTTTACGATTCGACAGGTCAGGAACAAGAAACTGGGTATCCTTTTTATTAAAGGGCAACTTGATTTTTGTCAAAGACTCCGACAGCAAAAAACAGCATGTTTTTTTTGAGTAGTTTCAATTTTAGTAATAGTTTGGAGCAGAAAACTATTTGCTCATTTTTTTGCTGACCATAACAACAACAACTTGCATTTATATAGCACCCTTCATGTGGGGTAGTGTCCCGGAGCACTTAATAATAATCCCTGCATTTGATATAGCGTCTTATCATGTCTTCGAGACTTCTCAAAGCACTTCACAGAATATACTGTAAAGTGATTTGACTGTATATATATTTTGTGGGTGAAATGCAGCAGCCAATTGTGCACAGAAATGTCCAACAATGTCCAACAAACAGTCGTGGATTGAGTGACCGAATTATTTTGTTTTTTTGAAGGGATTATTACCCCCAGAAAAGGGACGTACTGCTAGGTAATCAGAGGGATGTGGAGTAAGGAAACTTGCCCAACATTTTGCCCTGCTGGGAATTGAACCCAGATCTTCTTGCTTGTGTGGCGACTGCTCTAACGACTGAGCTACAGGTCTCCAGAATAGCTTTGGGAAAATTTTGAAGAAAGGGGGAAGGAATGGGACGCTGGAAACATAGGCATCAATCTGGAGAACAGAAAATCCTGGTCAAGAAATTTGGCTTTTTTCAGGCAGTGTCATTTTAATGGTCATTACACATCAATAGTCTCACTACTGCTACCAGAAAAACATTCACCTTCAGAGTGCTCTGTCTCCATCTTCTTGTGATATTCCACAAAGTATTGGATTACATACAGAATACATCAACGGCCCGAAATAACCCAGTGTTCTCAGAAGTAATGAATCATCATTGAAAACAAAGCATTTTTCATTAAAAATGTATATCAAAATTCACAAGCCTCCAGTCAGTGGATTACAGGCAGTAATCCAATCGACTGAAGATCTCAACTGATTATTACTGCTTTGCATTGCTTCATGTCTCCCTCCGATCCTCCGTCAGTAGCTGAGCTTTCAGCCACTTTGCCCCTGTTTTCTGGAACGTTCTCCCATAAATCCATCCACCTTGCTCCCCCATCTCTGCTTTCAAACACTGTCCAGAAACCTATTTGACTGTGCCTTCAACACCTCCAACCTATCATAAGAATACGAAATAGGAACAGAAGTAGGCAATTTGGCCCCTGGAGCCTGCTCTGCCATTTAATAAGATCATGGCTGATCTTCTAACCTAATTCCATGTACTCGCCCTATCCCCATATCCCTTAATCCTTCTAGTTTTTAAAAATCTTCGATCTCAATCTTGAATATTCCTTGAGATCTCCCAACCTACTCAAACTCTAATTCCCTCTGCAAAGTACTTTGAGATATTTTCCTTCTGTAATAAATAATAATCCTTGCATTTGATATAGCACCTTATCACATCTTCAAGACATCTCAAAGCGCTTCACAGAATATACTGTAAATTGACTGAATATTTTGTGGGTGAAAAGCAGCAGCTGATTGTCCCACAGACAGTCATGGATTGAAGTGACCAATTTATTGTTATCATCTATACAAATGTAATTTTGTTGTTTTTGAAGGAATTATGCGCATAGCAGTGTCCCACAAACAGTCATAGATTGAGTAACCCATTATTATTTTTAAAAAACATTTTGAAGGGATGATTAACCCCGGAAAAGCAATCTGCTAATTGACTAACAACCGGGTTCCTACTTACTGCTAGGTAAACAGAGGCATGTGATGTAAGGAAACTTGCCCAACATTTCGCCCTGCCGGGAATTTAATGCAGGTTTCTCGCTTGAGTGGGCTCTAACCACTGAGCTACAGAACTCCCCTATGTTTCTCTTTAAATGTACTGATGCTTCTTCAGGATTGACCAGGATCAAACCTGGGTATTTCTAGTCCATGTTGTTCAGACTTTCATATCATGGCGCAATATCAAATAACAAAAGTAATCCTGGTTAGGCCTGAGTTGGAGTATTGTGTCCAATTTTGGGCACCACACTTCAGGAAGCACGTCGACAACAACAACAACTTGCACTTATATAGCGCCTTCCACGCAGGGTAGCGTCTCAGAGCGCTTAACAATGGCAGGGCCTAACTCTGAGCTGGGGTGAAGATGGCCGTAAGCACGGTCGAAGAGGAAGGTTTTCAGGCGGGACTTGAAAAAGGGGAGAGAGGGGCCAAGGCAAAGGGACTGAGGGAGAGTGTTCCAGAGTTTCGGGGTGTAGTGGCTGAAAGATTTTGTCCTGTCTGGGAATTAAACTCAAGCCCTCTTGCTTGCAAGGCAAATGCTCTAACCAATACTCTACAGGACTCCACAAGCAGAGCAGAGAGTTCTCTTGGTGTCCAGAATATGCAGTTATTCATCTAATTGATTTTAGTAGAATTTACTAGTGCAGATTAGTTTTTGGCTTTGTTTTTGGTCAGTGTGTTGTCTGACACATGTAAAAACCCATCACCTCGTTTAAGAGTATCCCAACCAGACTGATTCCATCTGCGCCACCTACACATAGAAATTTCTGAGTCTAGAAAGGAATGCATAACCTCTCCCCAGAAGGGAGTGCCAGGCGGCTGGTCAGTCATCAGCAGTGCCCTGGGGTAGTCTGGACCTGCCTGTCTCAGGAACCAGACCAACAGGATTGCTACAGAGGGTTGATTCGATTGCAACACACTGTTGGCAAGCATATCACCTTGGAGTCAATTCAGCTTCCAAGAGACTCTGCTTACATCCTCCCCAAGGAAGATATTTTGCCTGTATGACAACAGGTAACTTCGCTTGTGACTGTATTGTGATATGTACATTGGGGCACTTCAGTCTTACAAGACATTATATCTAGTTTAAGTACTGTATACTTACAACAACAACAACTTGCATTTAGTATAGCGCACTTCACACGAGGTAGCATCCTGGAGCGCTTTATTTATTAGTTGAGCCATAACAACAACAACAACAACAAATTACATTTGTATAATGCCTTTCACGTCAGGAGGACGTCCCACAACCTTGTACAGTCAGGGATCTGCATCCGAGCTGGTGGTTGGGAACAGGAGGGGTGGAGGGTAGGGGCAGGAGGCTCACAGAAGGCACGATTGAAGAGGAGGGTCTTGAGATGGGTCTTGAAGGAAGTAAGGGAGGAGGCAAGGCAGAGGGACTGTGGAATGGAGTTCCAGAGGGTGGGGGCAGAGAGGATGAAGGCCCACCTGCCAATGGTGGGGTGGGCGAGGCAGGGGACCTGAAGCAGGCTGAAGCCTGCTGAGCAGAAAGAATGGACAGGTTGGTGGGGGTTTAGGAGGTCACAGAAGTGGGGTGAAGAAAGGCCGTGGAGGGCTTTGAAGATCTTGAACTGTATCATCTGTGTGATGGGAAGCCAGTGGAGCTGGGCGAGGATGGGGGTAATAGGGTCACGGAGCCTGGTGCGTGAGAGGACACAGACTGCAGAGTTCTGGATGATCTGCAGCCTGTGGAGGGAGGAGTTGGGGAGGCTGACAAGGAGGGTTTTGCGTAGTCAACCCTGGATGTGATGAACCCGTGGATGAGGGTTTCGGCAGCCTGTGGAGAGAGATAGTTGCAGAGCTGGGCAACCTTGCGGAGATGGGTAAAGGAGGAGAGGGTCATGGCATGGATGTGGGCGATGAAGGACAGTTGAGGGTCGAACAGGATGCCGAGGTTCTGTATTGGCTTCATGAGGCATAGAGTGCATCCATGAAGGGTGATGTTGCCAACGCCTGAGTTATGGAGGCGATGACGGGAGCCAAGAAGGAGAGCCTCGGTCTTGTTGACATTCAACTGAAGGAGGTTTGCTCCCATCCAGGACTTGATATCCGACAGACATTCTGTCAGGACAGCAGTAGTCGTGGAGTCGAGGGTGGAGGCGGAGAGGTAGAGTTGAGTGTCATCCACGTACATGTGGAAGTTGACCCCATGTGTATGGATGATGACACCAAGAGGGAGCATTTAGATATTGAAAAGGAGGGAGCCCTGAGGGATACCACATATGACGGTGCGGGGGCTGGAAGAGAAGCCGTTTGTGGAGACAAAATGCGGAATTTATGTTCTTAAATCTTTTTTAAGAAGCTGCACTGGAAGGCAAATGGATTTTAATTCCCCTTTAAAATATCAATTTAAGAGCATTAACCAATGCTTTGTGCTCTTGATTAAGTATGAAGTTGTTCCACAATGCAACTGGTGCAGATGTTTTGCAAATAAAACCCAAGTATCTGTGTTTTTAGACTGCTGCTTTCTGGTGTTTTTCATGTTCCATTTTACAGCTGTTCATTGCAGCACACAGCTCATTAGAGGAGAGGAAATACTGGGTTCCCAAGAAGCAGTGTTATGATCTGGAGCATGTACAGTCACCAGAAAGAAGTGCACGTGGAGAATTTTAATGGGGTAACATTACCCAGTGAAACAAATTATAGGAAATCAAAGTAGATAGTGATAATCCTGTGGGTTTGGCTCCGAGTGCTTTGTTTTCATGTAACAGTAAGGTGCCACCAATGGCAAACAGACTTTTACTGTCAATTCCACTGAAAATAGCCATAATTTAGAATTTCAATTCTAGGTAGAGGGATGGGGTATGAGCAGGGTTGTAGAGATAAGGAGGTGCTAGAGCATGAAGCGATTTGTAGATGAGTAAATGTAGAGATCCATTTGTCTACAATGCCTCATCTTTTTTATCTTAGTGCTTGTAGACCTTGATTATGATTAATCCATTACTGACAAACCATTACTGTTGCAGGACACATAACAATCACAAATTATTTGCTGAACTATTTTCCTGGCCTTGACATCGAGAGGAGGAATGTCCATGGATTCACTCCATTGATGAAAGCTGCAATGCAAGGAAGAACAGAATGTGTCAGAGCTTTGTTACTGGCAGGTAAGCAACTCTTCATTAGCTTGAACATTGTTTGGTTGCTGCAAAAAAATAAAAAATTTAACTGGGACAAATTTTAATGTGTTTTTGTGCCTGGTGGAGGGCTGATGCCAAATGAGTTCAAAGTGCTGACATTGGGCTTGAACCTACAACCATCTGACTCAGAGGCAAGAGTGCTACCAAGTAAGCTACAAGGCTCAGCACTGATAGTAGTGTGGAGTTTGGCAAGGGATGTTGAGGCCTGTGTTAGCTGAGCAGAGGGGCCAGGTAGAGGAATGGGGTAGAATAGATCAGAGAGATAGGGAAGTGCTAACACCAACAACAAGTTACATTTCTATAGTGCCTTCTACATTGAGAGGAAGTTCCAAGGTGCTGGACAGTCAGAGATTTGGAAAGGTATGAAGGGTGAGGATGTTAAAACCAATTGGAGACAGGAAGCTAGTGGAGCCTGGCGAGGATTGAGGTAATATGCATACAGATTTTAGTGCCTGTGAGGATTTGGGCTTCAGAGCTGGATCTTGTTAATGGTAAAACTGGGGAGATGAGGATTGCGTTTGAAAGTCAAAGCGGGAAGTGACTAAAGCATTGATAAGGGTTTCAGTGACAATTGGTGTGAGTAGGGGCGGAGGTGGGCTATGTGGTGAAAGTGAAGGAAATCAGTCTTAGTCAGGAACCAGGCAGAACATCAGTGGACCTGGGAGCACAACTAAAAGTGGAAAAGTAGATTTGAATGTCATCCACATATATAGTCATTAAACCCCAAAACAACAGACACTGCACTTTAGCGTATATCATATGGAATGCTTTGGGCTGTCCTCCTGACGTGACAGGCAAGATAACTAACGTAAGGATTATTATTATTATGTGGAAGTTAATCCCATGTCTGTGGATAATGTCACCAAGAGGAAGCATGTAGATGAGGAAAAGGAGTGGCTCAAGAATTATGCAGGGTGGAAGGAGAAGCCATTGGAGGAGACAAAGTAGTGGTCAAGTGGAAACAGGAGCATGTCTTCCCTCATAGGTGGATGAGGGAGGAGAGGGAATCAAAGAGGATGGAATAGCCCACAGTATCAAAAGCAATGGAGAGATCAAGGAGTACATGGAGCAAAGTGACCCATAGTCACAGGTCAAGTCTCAAACTGCCACTTACACCATTCCCTAGCCTGAGGCGCATAAACATAAATGATGGAAACATCTTTAACCGAACAATAAATGACACCATTATACCATTGGCACTGTTTTAAAATGATACAACAAAATGATACAACAAAACAGTGCCCTTCACACGGGGTAGCATTCTGGATCGCTTGACAATGGTGGAGTCTGACACCGAGCCAGGGGGAGAGGGAGTGGGAAGGTGACCGTAATCACAATCAAAAAGGAAGGTCTTTAGGCAGGATTTGAAAGTGGGGAGCAAGGGGGCAAGATTGAGGGAGAGAGTTCCAGCTGAAGCCACGGCCACCGATGGCAGATCGGATAGGTAGGGAGGTGCGAGGACATGAAGGGATTTGAAAACGAGCGAGAGGATCTTGAAATCGATCCATTTGGTAATTGGGAGCCAGTGCAGCCTGACAAGCACAGGTGTGTGGGGGTATGAAGTTTTGTGGGGGTTAGTATCCAGGCGGCAGAGTTTTGAATCAATTCAAGTTTTGCATGGTGGACCTGGGAAGACCGGCGTGGAGGAAAGTGTCTGACACATACAGAAACCCAGCACCAAACAGACTTTAACGTCATTGAAATATTTCCCATTTTAAGGAATCATTAAATAGTGTGTTGCGAAGGAGGAAGAATCATTTACATTTATAATAACCCATTGTCTTCCCTTCAGGTGCAGACATTCGTGCCACTGATCCCGGGAGGCAGTTTACCCCGCTACAATGGGCAGTGTTCACAGCGCGGCATGATACCACCTTCCTCATACACAAACTGCTGGCCAAGCCTTGCCCTGAGCAGTTCAGTGACAAGTACAGACCCGAGTGGCCAAGACTAAAGGAACTTGTAGCCAAAGCAAAAGAACCCAGGACTTGTTTGGAAAAAATCTGCGAGACCATCAGGTCCACCCTGACCTTCAATCTGCCCCGTGACCCCGAGGAGGAGGGGCTGATGGACCACATGGTCAGGATGACCACCAGCATTTGCAGCCCTTTCGTTGCGATCGGGTGTAGGACAGTGTGCCCGGACAGTCCTCCCTGCGTGGGCAAGCGCAGGCTGGCAGTTCAGGAGATCCTGAACCAGCAAAAGGCTCAGGATATCAAAGCTCAGGGAAAGGACAACACTAACGAATACCAAAAAAAATTTCAAAACTCGCAAGTGGTCCTGCTTACAAAAATGAAGGACAGGAGAGCGAGTCTGCAGCCTGTGAACCTCGACCCCAGCCAAATGTCTGTGGTTTCCACCAGGAGGAGCAGTCTACTGCCCCTGAACATGATGAGAAGGAGCAGTGTCCGACCAGGCCTAGTGATGCCAAAGGTGCGTGTGATCAAAGCGCCCACTCCAACCTATCAGCCAGAACGGATACGCAGGAGAAGCAGCACCCAGGAGAGTTATTTTCTGGACATCCCCAAGTGGAGGTATAAGGAGCTGAAGGAGGAAAGGAAGAAAGCGGAGGAAGAAGAGGAGAAGAAGAAAGCTGAGGAGGCAGAGAAGCAGAGAGCAGCCAAGTTAGCAGGGAATCAGAAATCGCTGTGAAGGGGCTGTATAGGGACAGAGAGATCTTGTTAAACTATAGCAAACAAAACAGCAACAACAATACCTTAGTCCAGATAATTTGCACTTTTACTCGGTTCCTCTTATCAAATAGAAGATGCATTCATTGAGATGGAGAGAGTGAACGGGTGAACTGTCTATGAACAGTAACAGAATGCACAGGACCTCAGTTCAGTGGCAGGAGTGGGAAGTGTCGGGTTAAGTGCAACTTTTTAATCGAAGATGTTGTTTAGAAGTGGCAATCAGAGGTTCTCTATTTTCAGTTTGCTTAAAAGGTCCACTTTCATAATGGAAGGTGTTCTTAAACCTTCAGCACAAAATGTACCTTTGGGCAAAATCAATGACTGTGTAACTTCTTTCAATCACACAATTTCAAACTGTGACCAGCGCCCAGGAGCTACAATTTTTTTTTGAAAAGCAGATGACCTAAATAGTTTCATCTTTTTTTTGTTGACGGAGATGTGTGTCCCAGTCATAGTGATGCTATGTGAGTGAGTGCTCGCCCCGGGATGTTATGAGACAATTCATTGCAGCCCAAGGTGATTGTGCAAGTGCTGGCTCACCCATAGGATATTCTTCTTACGGCACTATTGCACAGAGGCTCTCCATAAAGGACATTCCAGTTTAACAGCCCCTGAACCTGTGTCTCTCTCACGTATTGTACTACATTGCTGCTCTGTTTCACATGTCTGTTTGTTAGATGTTGCACTGCACTTTAATACATTGCAGTTTTTACTGATAAAGAGAGAGAGAGGTGAAAAGGTTGGGCACATCTTTAACCATTTCCACTTGGTTTGGTCTAGTTATATTAAATTCAGGTACACAGCCACTATTGCTATAGGTGCTAGAATCGTGTTGCATATAATTGCAGTGCTGTAATAATACTACAATTTGCATTAGAAGTCCAATGCAATATACAATATGCATTTCTGTTATATATGTGGCCATGTAGCAGTGTGTGCACTGAACAGAATCATTCGGCTATACTGGCTTGCTCTGTCAATGATAGATATGATGTGTTGATGTTTTTCTTCGCCCTGACCCACCATTAGTGGCAGAGCTTCCAGTCACTAAGCCCCACTCTCTGGAATTACGTCCCCACAACCATTTACTTTGGTCCCAAAACACTCCTGAAAAAGCTATCTTTGACCACACCTTTGGTCAAAATCCTTAAACCACCACCACCAATAACAACAACAATTTGCATTTATATAGCACTCTTTACACAGGGTAATGTCTCATAGCCCTTAACAGTGGCAGAGCCTGATGCCGAGCTGGATGGAGGAAGGAGTTGACTGTAAGCGTAGTTGTAGAGGAAGGTCTTCAGGCATGATCTGAAAAAGGGGAAGAAGGGAACAAGGCAGAGGGATTGAGGGAGAGAGTTTCACCATTTCGGGGCATAGTGGCTGAAGCCACGGCCACCGATGGTGAAGCGGAGGGGCCGAGGGACAAGCAGGAGGCTGGAGCCAGTTGAGTAGAGACGGTGGGTGGCAGAGTGGGGGTTAAGCAGGTCGGAGAGGTAGAGAGGCGTATGGGCATGAAGGGATTTGTAGATGAATGTGAGGATCTTGAAGTCAATCCATTCTTTGATAGGGAGCCAATGGAGCCTGGCAAGGACTGGTGTGATGGGGATATGGTGTTTAGAGCAGGTGGGTATATGGCAGAGTTCAGAATTAGTTGAATTTTGTGGATAATGGAGCTGGGGAAACCAGTGAGGAGGGCATTGGAATAATCTAGGCAGGAGGTGATGAAAGAGTGAACAAGGGTCTCAGCTGTGTTTGGGTTGAGGTACAGTTGGAGGTCGGCAATGTGATGGAGGAAAGCCTTGGTTATGTACAGGTCTTAGATAGACTGGGGAGGTTGAGGAGGTCAGAGTTGCAGGACAGAAGGCGTTGATGGGAGCCAAGGAGTATGGCTTCTGTCTTGTCAATGTTCCGCTGCAGGCAGTTTGCGGTCATCCAGGCCTTGGTGTCTGACTAACAAGCTGGCAGAACATCAACGGACCGGGAGTCGCAGCTGGAAGAGGAGAAATAGATTTGAGTTTCAACCCCTCTTCCCAACTTGCTAGATGATCCACATTACGTCGGTAAAGCCCTTTGAGACTTCCACCTAGGGGAAAAGCACTGAACAGTGCAAGTTTGATGAAGTCACCTGCTGATAGGTTTTGTAGTGGATTGATAGAAAATGTGGCAAAGAAAATAATTTCAGTCTTTAGGCAAAGGTTTGTAAAATGAAATCAGGAAAGCCCAGTCAGACAGAGGATAACCAATCCATTTCCCTGGTCATTAAAATGCATGACTGTCCGTGCTTCAGTGACCACTGAGTGCAACATATATGCATTTTTTCGGAGATGATCCTCTTGTGTTTTGGGTAAAGCATCAAATAATTGGCTTGTGGGAATGTGGTTCTGCAGGAAATTGAAGATGAGCTGTCTTTTTTTCTCAAAACAAGGAAGTTGTTTTTACAAAAAGGTACCTTGTGATTATTCTGAAAATAGACTTAACACGCTGGTGGAAAGTGAACAGTCACATAATGTTCATTCAGCTTCTCCCATTGAGAATAAACAGGGATCAGGACACCTAATGCTCTGTGGAGGAGGGTAAACTGGTCATCTGTTTCAACTAGTTGTTTAAGAATGAACATGTTGGGACACATCCAGTGATAATTACTTGTTGATCATTATACTCACCTTCCATCTTTAAAGTTAATGAGCTTTTCAGATAATGGCTCATCCAGACAGTACCAGAGGGCAGCTCACCACACAGTGAGAACAAGACTGTAGGGGGCACCAACAGAAAATTGCATTTTTATAGCACTTTTCGCATTGGTAGGACATCCGAAGGTGCTGGCCAATAATCCCAGAGCAGCGCTTCTTCTCATTCGTTTTAATGGGAAGTGGAACAGATTCACACTAAAACAAGCATTTTAGAACATCCAGTAAACAGAAAAGGAAGCAATCATCGGAATTGTTTACAGTCCTGGAGGCCTGTTTTTCATGGGCTGCTCTAGGCACTTGCAATGCCTCAAGCTGTTTCAGCAGGTACAGATGCCTCCGACCTTGTAAGAGGTTGTTGTGAAGCTGCTGTGAGGAGGTCTGAATCGTAACCTGCAGCGATTCAGTGGAGCCCTGTAGCTTAGTGGTTAGAGCACTTGTCTTGCAAGCACGAGGACCTAGATTCAATTCCCAGGCAGGGTGAAACGTTGGGCATGTTTCCTTACTCCACAAGCCTCTGTTTAGCAGCAAGTAAGAGCCCAGTTGTCGGTCATTTGGCAGATTGCTTTTCCGGGGCTAATCATCCCTTCAAAATTTAAAAAAATAATAATAATGGGGTCTATGACTGTTTGTGGGACACTGCTGTGTGCAATTGGCTGCCGTGTTTTGCCAACGAAACATACAGTCAATTCGCTTTAGAGTATATTCTGTGAAGCACTTTGAGACGTCTAGAAGACGTGGTAAGGAGCAATATCAAATGCAAGAATTATTATTATTATATACAAAATAACTAGACAAAAACACATCCTTGGTTGGAGGTCACAATCCCTATTTCTTTCCTGAATGAAGGCATCCAGGGGTTACTAAACTCAACCAGACTTAAAAGTGCAGTTTGTCACATTTTCATATTTGCCATTAACAGTTGAACAAAACGCTATGAATGGGAGTAGGGGTGGGGCGTGTATTAATATTAAATAGAATCTTGTAGTTTAGGGACATACCAGGCAGCGCAGTGTGCCTGGGATCATTTATTATACACCACTGTGAATCTTCAGTGTTTAGTTTTTTTAATCAAATAAATGCAGGAAAAGCATTTCTTTTAATGTTAAAAGATTTTTTTTTAAAAAAAGGCTACCCTTTGGGCCAGGTACTGACCTCTGGGTGATTGGATTCATTCTGAGTGGTTGGCAAATAGCAGCCAGTTTCATCGGAATTGTTTACAGTCCTGGAGGCCTCTTTCTCATGGGCTGCTCTAGGCACTTGCAATGCCTCAAGCTGTTTCAGCAGGTACAGATACTTCCGACCTTGTAAGAGGTTGTTGTGAAGCTGCTGTGAGGAGGTCTGGCCTTTTGATACAATCTCCAAAATGTACAAACAAAATGTGAGTGCATTATTAATGTTACTCTGCTACTCGAGAAAATGGAAAGGATACACAATCCAGTGCAATAAGAATCCTATTTATACTCTTCTTACCAACTCCGATACTGCTGTGCTTATTCCAGATCGATACTTCATATCAACCTACTCAATGTTTAGACTGCAAACCATGTTCATCTGTTTATTGAATATACTGTGAGTCTGTATTGAGAGCTGACCCAAAGTCCCAGTGGTATATACAGGGTCATCTCTGATCACAGTGCAGCACCTTCTGACATTATAATCCCGTGTAATTGGCAAAGGTATTATAATAGCCCCCCTTTTCTATTTGAAAGTGCCAGGAGGCCGAAGGTAGTTTGTTCTCGGTATATGCCACTATTGTTGGGACAGTAAGAGGAGTTGTAGAAGTAGTAAAAAGGAATGGCTTCCACACTGGTTGATTGACTGATCGGGGATAGGATTAGTTCTGCTCACCCGCTCTCAGCTTGGTTCAGACTAGAACCTTTGACTCTGTGAAGTTAAGATGTTGTACAAATATTTAATACATTTGAGGGGTGTGGAGATAAAATACTCTCTGTAGAACCATAAAAATTTGCAGTACAAAAGTACGTTTTTAGCCCATCCTGTCTGTGCTGGCTCTTCAAAAGAGCAAATCATTCAGTCCCTTTAACTGGCTTTACCCCATACCTCTGCAAGTTATTCCATTTTGAATATGTATTTAGAGGTCCCTCTTGAAAGGTATGGATCCTGTCTCGACTATCACACCTGGCCATCCCTGCACTTGAGAAGTGCCAATTTGAGCACCGCAAAGTCCCTTAACAGTCATGAAGTGAACCACCAACCTTTTACCTGTGGGTCAAAACACTGGGAGAAACTCTCTTCTCTTTATGAATAGTGCCATGGGATCTTTAACATCCACTTGAACAGTCAGGCAGGACCTTGAGTTAATGTCTCATCCAAAGGACAGCACATGCAACAACGCAACACTTCTAATATTCCACATATATAACAGTATTCCAAACAAAAGTCAGAAACTTGGAGAGAGGAAAGAACAGAAAACTCTTGTCTGTCTACTTGATATATTGACTTTGATTTAAAAAATCTAGAAAAGTTGAAAATTCACCGTCTCTCTCTCCCCCAACGCACAATCCATCGCCTCACCCCCTCCCAATCATGGTATGTGTACATTGGGCTACAATACTTGTTTAGTTATGGGTTTAGCATCAAGCCTGTAAATGTCCAGTGGGATTTTGTATTATAAGTACATTACCCCAAGGTTCAATGGAAAGTCTCACGTTTTTGTTGATCGCCAAAGAAAACCTG